CCACACTAGATCACATTGCTTGACTATCTGGTGTGACCCCAGATGTTCAGGCATACAGAGACACTTTATAAAGCATGACGTCTTAAGAACTTAGAAGTGATCTCTCAGAAGTAGACAGCAAAGACCAGATCTCTCTTTAAGCAAGGTTAAATTCTTCACAACACACCTAGCAAAACATCACTGGGTTACAAAACCCTTACTTTACATTTAGGCAATTGACAAACAAAAAGTGACAAAACAATGAAACAGCTGTGGAAGAGTCTGGAAAAGAACATACAACCTGGAGCCATTCTCCTCTGCTATTCCTTCATTGTATCTCCATCTTTCCAGAGAACTAAAAAAAGTATACCAAAAAGAAGTAATCCACCAAGGGCAAACAGAGCTAGCTGCAAATTATATACATACATGTTTGTGTGTGTGTGTGTGTGTGTGTGTGTGTGTGTGTGTGAGTGTGTGTCTGTGTGTCTGTGTATGTGTGTGTGATATATACATACATATATTATTATGTATAGATACATATTTTGAAAGAGAAATCAGGAAAATTAGAGAACATTGCTAAAAATTACCTTCTTCTAGCTTTGAAACAGTACAAAAAAATCTTCATTGCTTTTTTTTAGATTATTGACTGAGGGAAAGGAGAGTTGAAAATGAGTTCCAGTGTATTTCATTGTGAGGCCATGAATATGAGGAACTAGAAAATGACTTTTAGGGATTAAAAGGGTTAGAATTGGTTTTGAGGAGGTGTTTATCTGAGACTCATTTAGCCAAAAATGTATGCCTGTTGGTAGTAGAATAGAAGATGATGGAATTTTGTAGGTAATCATGTGTAATTTGATTTTTGTTTTTGGAAATACTTGTTTCCTGTATGGTAAATCTTGGTACCTAATTTTAAGAGAAAATGTGTTAAGTGTAGAAATAGCATTCTAGCAGGATTAATCTTTGGGCATGTACCATCACAACAAACATTTTTTACAGAATGCCTGTTTACCCACATAATTTAATTTGAAAATGCAACACAAAATTTTGGGGCCCATGTAAGGAATCATTATGGGTCAGGGAAGATTTAGAATGAGTATGGAAGAGGTATATTACATAGTATCTTGGAAGGAAGGTTTTAATGATTCTATTGTTACTATGAGTGGTTGGTGATCACCAAAAATATAAGCCTTATCCAGAATATGAAGGAACATGTTAATGATAATTTGTTTCTGCTCATGTCAAATTTATGGCTAGGAATTTTACAGCATAAAGGTTGAACTACACATGCAATCATTTATTGAACTCTCAGGCTTTAATCACCACTTCCCTAGAATGTGATCTATTTTAGTTTGACCATTGCTCTCCCATCTATGCACTACAAGATACAACAAGATACTACAAAAATGAGCATGGAAGAAGTCTATTACATAGTAGTTTGTTGTTCAGTCAGTGCATGTTAAGATTCTTCATAGAGCCTGGAAACATTCCTTCATGTCCTTTACTCCCAAATGCCTACCCCTCACAAATTTCAAGTCTTGCCACTATTAAAAAAAAAATCAGGAATGCTTTTATTATTCATAAGGTCATGGTTCTTCAGAACCTGTTTTTATTGAAACAATAAATATTTTTTGTCTCTGCAGTTTTAGCCATTTTCTTTATTGCTGATTTTCTCATTACTACTGATATTGCATCATCGTACTGCCTGTAAAGGAAGGTTTTAATGATTCTATTGTTACTGTGAGGCTTGGTGATGACCACAAATATAAATCTTATCCAGAATATGAAGGAACATATTAATGATAATTTATTTCTGCTCATGTCAAATTTATGGCTAGGAATTTTACAGAATAAATGTTGAACAACACATCAAACCGTTTATTGAACTCTCAGGCTTTAATGACCACCTTCCCAGAATGTAATCTATTGTAGTTTGACCATTGCTCTCTCCGCTATGCACTGCTACAAGATGTGAAGGTAGAAGAGAAGCCTGCAGTTTGAGCAAGAAGAGTATTCTTATTCAAAGACTGTCATCCCTTCTCCTGCAGAGCTTAAGGCCAATTAAGGAGAGTATAAAATCACTACAGCTAGCAATTATAGACAAGAGAAGACACTGACTAATCAAAAGGAGCCATTTAGCATTTCAAAATGAGGATCAAGAATCTGGAAAACCCCCAGAAGATAAGTTTATTCATCCTCAGGACCCCCTGACGGATGGAGGAAGGTAGGCGGTGGAATAGAATGAGTGAAGAAAAGGTATATTACATATTTGTTTATAGACCAGCCAGTGCATGTGACAGTTCTTCATAGAGCCTAAGTACCAGCAGGTGGAGAAGGGATGTGGATCACTTGAGTGTTGTTGACTGGACTTGACACTGCTATGGACATATAGATGTGCAAGAAGTCCCCATTCCATGACACTAAGCATGCAGCTCAAGTTTAAGGACTAGCAGTGAACCAAAAGAAGCTCTAAGTTCTGAACTCTTTTGCTGTCAGATTTAGGTGAAAGTTGCCCAATGTCAGCTTGTCAGTACTATTTTGGCATCCTTATCTTTCATTACCTTGCACAAGAAAGTCTGTGGCAACCAGCAAGCATGATCTACCCACCAGACCTTTTGTTCAACCAGGGGCCTTGGTTTAGGCCCCCTTTAACCATGAATCCCAGAACTTCCTCAGACATCTGGTTAACAGGAGGCATTCTGTGGGAGACTAGAGGGTCAAATAATTGCCTAAAGGAAAGAAATCACGTCAGTACCTACTCAAGTCCAGTCAGAAATTGGGATTCTTCACTCAATAGCTCTCCCAACACAGACAAGTACAAGGCAGTGGAAGATAACTTTGAAAAAAATTCACTCCAAAATACAGAGGTGGTCAGGAAACACAGTGCAGTGCAGGATCCAGGACACCTAATCAGTGTATGTACATCTTTGTGCCGTTTTATGCATATTATCTACAGAAAGAATGTGAATATACAAAACTGCTGGGTCAAAGAGTATGTAGATTAAAAAAAATTTATTCAAGGAGGGGAAACCTTCATTTCCTCTGTGGCACTTTTACTCAGTAATAGTGGGACTGAGTGGGGGCATGAGGCGGTAAGATAGGTGATGATTCCTCTTCCCTTCCTTTTATATGCTCTTCTGTGTTGAGTGGGGCCAAAGCAGCCCTGACTAAGGCCTGTAACATTAGAGATGTTACTTGGACCTGTTGCCCTTGTGCATTATTGCATTTAAAATTTCTCCCCACTTGTTCCCATAGCTCTAGGTCTAGCGTGCCTTCTTCCAGGAACCATGGGTTATGGGAAACAACAGTTTGCATTAGTTCCCTTTATTGAGCCTGCAAAACCAAGGCTTCACTAGCTTTAAGTAGCTGTTTCAATACTTTTATATACTGTTTCTGTTTTGCTGATATTGTTGTCCCATGATGAAATCCTAGCCTGAAAAATTCCCTCAAAATTGGAAATCCTTAGCAGGCACTGATGACTTACTGACTTACTGACTGCCCAGTCTCTTCACCTTCGCTTTCAAGGGTTCCATCACAATCCATTGAAGCGTTCCTCACATGGGGGCACCAGCTGCCAAGACTGACCCACAGACTCTGGCTGAGTGACAAAGGAAAGAAGTTCACATACACAGGTGATTTGCCTCTGAGAGCATGGCTAGAGGACCCCATGGCTTATAAACCCCAAAGGGGGAGTCTGGCTGTACAGCCCTGATATGCTGTAGATGCTCATATTTATTTTAGAACTAGTTTAATGACAAAGGTCTGGAGCAAACATCATTTGTGGGTAATTAATATTGTCAACCCCCCAAGTAGAGAGCAGTTCTGTGCATGAATGATCAAAGGATGGTTTTAGGACAACATGAGTAAACAAGCTATTTAGTTAAACTCCTCCACATTCCCTTGTTATGTGCTCTTTGTTATGAGCTCAGGGTAAGAGGATTAGGCTGTCTTCAGTCATAGCCCTTTCCCAAAGCTTTTGAAAGATCTTACAGCCTTCCAAGAAGTTTTGTGTCTTTCCTATAATTTTTTCCACCACCCTGACTGATCCCCTACAGCCCCAAGTTGCTTGGTTTGTCAGTTAAATATAATGAGCTTTATTATATTTTTAAATCTTTAATAAAAAAGCTTTTCTCTTACCATCTAAAAGCAGAGACATTTAATGTCTGTGAATTGGGCATTTTATTTTATCTTTAGTTGGCCATGTAACTACTACCCCCAAGTACTTCCAGTCATATTTTGCTTTGCTTTGCTTTGGGTATTCTTTTTTAAGATCTGAAAGTAACAAAATACAACTTGGATCTCTTGATAAACATACTCTTTTTTATAACTGTAGCTAAAATATCTCTTTAAAGGACATCCAAATAATCCAAGAAAATGCTATTTTCTTATTAAAATGACTTACTACTTATTGCTAGCATCGTCATTTGGCATTTTGCAAACATAGAATTTTTATCTGCCTGTATATGTGTGTGAATGTGTGTGTGTGTTTGCTTATTCTGAAATTATCTTATACCTCAGAGTCCCTAATGGCTACATTGCATATAAGAGATGACAAAGAGGTTTTCACACTAACCACAGATCATGGAGAGAAATATGTTCTAATAACTAAAAGCACAAATTAGGAGACAATAGTTTTTATTGCTTCTTAAATTCACTAGTTTATTAATTTTGCATAGCAATTTAAGAAAGAGAAAAATGAAAGCAAAAGCAAAGATTAAATTCTCATGCTCCTACTCTTCAGATCTCCAATAGGAGATTCTCAGTGGCATGCATTTCCCAAACAACTAGTTATAAAAAGATAATTATATACTGTGGATACCATAATCCTTTATATTCCAAGATTAAAGAAAAGGAATGTCCAGTACTTTTTATCCAAGCACTGTTAAACAGGAGTGTTAACTTTTGATAAACCTCAGTGACTAAATTTGCATCACTGCATGGAAAGAAGTATAAAAAGATATGCTCTCTACCTTTCTCTTATTCAAAGATTGCAGAGCTGCTGATTTGGCTGACAGACTTCAATCATGAAGAGTCCTGTCTTTCCCTTTGCTTTATTTTTCTTTCTGGCCCCATTGCCACCAGGTAAAATGTAAATATTAATTGAGAGGATAAAATGTCTTTCTGGAGAATTACATCTTGGTTGATGTCAACTGGAGACAAAAGATTTACCAAATTGTTAAGAGAGTGAATGGTTATGGGCCCAAGAGTAAATCACAAACAAAGAAAGGACTTACTTATTAAAAAGTAAGGCTCCTGGTGAGTCATATTATTGTGGGAGACAATTTAAAGACTTTGATTAAATTACTACAGGCTAATTGTCCAGACTGACTACTGAGATAGAATATTAAAATATATCCATCTGGATCCTTGAGACGTGATGGGCACTGTGTAGTACAGTAAAAGTTGGTTTTTCAGTAACCTAATGATTGATTTGGTTATGTCGCATGATTTACTTTAAGAAAAATACTTATTAAAATGATGTTTTCAACTATTAAGAATTGAGAACTTTAGTGGCTATATTACCTCAGGTCCAATTACATAGCAATTAATATTAATCAGATAATTAAACTTTGGAGTTATTGATACCTGGGTTCAGATTTAGCTTATGCCATGTATTGGCTATATAAATCTATCAGATTATTTAAACCCATTCAGCATCAATTTCCTCATTTGTGAATTAAATATAGTATTTAAGTGTACCTTGTAGTATTATAAAATTAATGATATTTAAATATACAGAGTGCCTAACATAAAGTATAATTAATATTAGATTATTCTTAAATAGTATTATAATTACTTTTACATTGTATTGAAACACCTTAAAAAGCAACTAACTTCTAGAAATCTCATCACAAAACTCTTTCTTGACAAATATTGCAGGAGACAGTGGAGGTAATATTCACCATGTTGGATTTCACATACTTAAACTGTGTACCCTCATTTGTAAATTTTCACTGTACACACTACTGTTAGATTGGATCAATAGCCAAGGGAAGTATCTTGATGGAGATCACTGAAAAGGCAGTTTTAACACACTTCAGGGTACTTGAGATAGGAAAAGTATTTTTCTTGTGTATGTTAAGATCCTGTAAACAAACATTTTACACACACGCAAGAAAATAATTCCACTCACCTTAAGAAAATAAAACAAACAAAAACTAATAACTCTAGGGTGTTCTGATTTAGGAGTGGTCTAGAACTGCAATAGTTTCCTTTTTGAAGTCCAACTTCATTTCTTAGCAGCACAGATGAGACCAAAGAAGTCTAACTCTAACAATAAGTCTGGCTGTAAGTAAACTCAAACATCTAAGTATTTTGGATTTAAGACTCAAATCATCCAAATTATTTTATAATTCAAATAAGTCACATGATAATTAGGAGGATTGTTATTTTATTACAATATTCTAAACCCACGACTAATGGAATTAACAATCAGAGTTTGTTTTTACCAAACAGAGATGATCTTAAAAAAAAGAAGACTGCTATTTAGTGCAACCACATTTGGATAATAAAATCAGCTCCAGTTTTGTTATCATCATTTAAATGTATGCCTCATGTCACTTGCTTTGGGAGAAAAGGTGAAAACTTTCATGACACTTCAGTATCATTATAAACCCGAGAGACATTGTGAATGTATATGCATAGTTTCATCTAAAACTGGAAAAATTTGTGTTTCCTACTTGTACATAAATATATATATTTTTGTTATACAATAGCTGTTTTCTAGAGAAAAGCTATTTGTTGTTTTTGCTACTAGTGGAAAAATGCTAATTTACAATTCCCACTTAAATAATGCTATTCTCTTTTTAATACTAGTGCTTGACAGCTGTCATCTGTTATTATTTTTAAATTCCAATTAAGTCAACATACATGCTTCACACCCCTCATGTAGGACAGTGCAAATTGAGGATGCATTTTTAAGCTGGCAAGATAAGGCCTTTTCCCTCTGGCATCAAAAGCAATAAATAGCATCTCTCTAGATAGTACAAATAAGGAGATATCTATCATTAATTTATACAGTGAAAAAGTCTATCTCCTTGCCTAAAATATATGGCAAAAAATTCAAAATAATAGGTATAATTTTTTTCCTAAAATGTCTAGTTACTCAAAGTAACAGTGAGACAGTGTGCTAACATAACTTCACTGAAAGCAGACAGCATGAATTGGGTTGTCAGTACCATTGATGCCATCTCAGTCGAATCCTATATGTTCAAAACCTAGGGAAAGAGCACTGTTCACATATCTTCATCACCGATGTTTGATAATTTACCATTACATTTAATGCTTTTATTTTGGGTATCTTCCTCCCTATGTGACCTTTCTAAAACTTTAAACATTTCTTGAAGAGATGAAATACTAAGTCTTATGGCCAGATATAGATGAGTCCATCAGTTGGTATATGCTATGATAATGCAATACTGAGTACTTTATAAAGAAGGTTCTGAAACAAGGAAACATAGGGAGATGTTGATTGATATCAACCCCTTCTCACTGAACTTAAGTCTTGTCATTCATGACAACACTCATTCCCTCAGCAAACCAGTCTCCTTACTAGTCTCAAATTTTGTGAATATTAAAAGAAGCTTTCGTATCCCAGTGTCTGCTAGGGTTTTTTCACTCTTCTAATAAAAGAGATATCTAAAAAGATTTAAGCAAGATAGCAATTTAAGCAACACTAACTAATCTTCCCATTTTAAATGCTAAAACCAAAAATATTTAAATGTTTACCTATTTTTGAAATTGAAGAAAAAAGCCTTTGGGAGGTGGTGGGATCATAGGTATTTGTATATGCCCAAATTAATCAATTTGTACACCCTAAATATGTGCAATTCTTTTTATAGCAACTACATCTCAGTAAAGCTATTTTAAAATATTGTTTGGTGAGCAGTAGGTAAGTAGCCATAAAAATATGCGGTGTTCGGCCAGGCGCGGTGGCTCAAGCCTGTAATCTCAGTAAGAAGGTCTCCGGGAAAACTAAGCTTTAACAACTAATGGATAAAGCCAGAAGTTGGAAAGGAAACTGACAATGAAAGAAAAAGTATCACAAAACAATCATCACCAGAAAAGTAGCAAAACAAATGACTTCCCAAGGCCATACCCCAGAATGCAAGTGCCATGCTTATTTTCACATCAACAACTGATTTATCCCAAGTTGGGACCTTAAGGCACTTACAATGACTCAATGGTTATGTGCTTTTTTTCTCTTTTAACAGTTAAATGAGCCATGACAGACACCTATAGTTGCTTTGTCATGAGAGGTAAATGTAGACATGAGTGCCATGATTTTGAAAAACCAATTGGTGTCTGCACATAACTAAATCAACTGTTGTATGTAGAATTTCGAAATAAAAATCAGCATCCCAGAAAAGTAAAGCACGGTGAGTACAAGAATTAGTAATAAATGGAACTGAATTACCAACCACTGTCCAGTCTGTGATGTTCTCTTGGTTACATAGCATCATTTGAGGAGCTATGTTTTCTCCTAAGGATCTGAGAGTAGTGGGAGCCATCCAGTATATAAGGGAGCTCTAGGGAAACATTTCATCATTTTGGATATCAATATTCTACTAATTAGCAGAAGAAAGATAAATTACACAAAGAAGTCTAAATGACACAAATAATTACTATCAGGAGTCTTCAAATCAAGGTATCCAAACTAATGCGAGTTTAGAGTGATCAAAGAGAAGGAACAAATAGCACTTTCATCAGGTCACGGATCAAGAGATCTTATTCACTGCAAGCAGGGAGCCATAGCATCAGTTCAGTCCTTCAGGATTTTTGTATTTGTTCTCTTGAACAGGAAATTTTTAAAAATAGGCCATATATGAAAGTAAGGCATAGGTGTATTGCAACTGAAACAGGAAACTGGAGAGGTCTGATGAAAGAGATGTCTCATAACTAATATCTACTGAATAGGAAATACAGAATTCAGCGTGATTAGTACAAAAATAATTAAATCACAAAAATCATTAGGAACTTTACTGATAGCAATATCATCATTATAGCTAATACTAATGTAAAAGCTTCAAAACATTTTGAGATACAGAAATGTTTTTGATGATCACAAAATCTCTATGAGATAATGCAGTGTCCATGAAACGTATAAGATAACTTCAGAGTACAGATCCTGGAACCAAATTCCCAGAGTTCTAGTTTTGAGAGCAAACACTGTGTACATTTTTATTAGATTAACCTGCTTGTTAAAAATGTTTAGAAAGTTTGTGAGGTCATACAGCTATTTAATAAATTAAACAGATTGATAACTTAAGTTCTGCCTTACAATGAACACAAGTCTGAATGCTCCCTTACTTTGAAATCATCAAAGGGAACTTGAGGAAGAGGGTGAGGTAAATACTGAGTTGAACATGGAGGCTGCATCTGAAACTAAACAACAGATATAAGAAATGAGAAACGGGCAGCCAGGGGTGGTTTGATTGCCTGAATGTCCACATTTGACAACTAGCACAGGTTAATAAGCTGCTGAGATAAACTTCTAATTAGATTGATCTGGCAGTCATATAAGAGATGCTTAAAGTTTCATTCCTTTTCTCTTTTATCACTTTTCCTTACACAAAATCTTTCCAGATTAATTCTAGCAACTGAGAATTTTATAAAAGAATAGAAAAGATGTAACTCCTTGCATAATTTGCTTTCAAACCAATTCTTTTATTTAACTGAGTATAAATCCATAGAAGCAAAAACTCACTCTCTAGCCTACAGTATTAATTCCTAGATCTTTTTGAATATAGACCACTTTTTATAGTCAAGAAAAAACAGATGCTTGTGAGATTGCAGAGAAAAAGGAATGCTTTTACACTGTTGGTGGGAGTGTAAATTAGTTAAACCATCGTGGAAGACAGTGTAGTGATTCCTCAAAGATCTAGAAGAAGAAACACCATTTGACCCAGCAATCTCATTACTGAGTATATAATATATTATAAAGGTACATGCACATGTATATTCACTGCAGCACTATTTACAATAGCAAAGACACAGAATAAACCCAAATGCCCATCAATTGTCAATGATAGACTGGATAAAGATAATGTGGTACATACACACCATGGAATACTATGCTATAAAAAAGAATGAAATCTCATTCTTTGTAGGGACATGAATGGAGGTGGAAGTCATATCCTCAGCAAACTAATACAAGAAGAGAAAACCAAATACCGCATGTTCTCCCTTATAAGTGGGACCTGAATAATGAGAGCACATGGACACCGGTGGGGGAATAACACACACTGAGGCCTCTTGGAGGGTGAAGCGAGGGACAGCATCAGGAAGAATACCTAATAGAAGCTGGGCTTAATACCTGGGTGATGGGTTGATTTGTGCAGCAAACAACCATGGAATACATTAATCTATGTAATAAAACAGTACCTCCTACACATGTACTCCAGAATTTAAAATAAAAGTTGAAAACAAAAAAAAGACCACTTTTATACAAAATGTCATGTTTCTTCCATAGGAGAATATTTGCAATTGTAGCATCTAGAAAGTTTAAGGAACTACGGAATGACCAGAAAGTAATCTACATGTGTATACAAAAATATATACATACACATGTGTGTGCATATAGATATGCCAGGTATGTAACTAGGTAGATAGATATACATAAGTTTTTATTCATTTACTCTACAGATAATATTTTTGTGCATTTGCACTCACCGATCACTTCCAGTCAGCTTCCTGATGGATCTTAGCAAACAAATTGGGTGCTATTGGCATAGACAGTTTTAGAAAATGTCCATAAACTCAGTATTTCTGTATCAGAGTCACCAGGGCACATGAGAGTCAAAAATATTGTTGGTTTAATCTGTATTATAAAATAAGTCATTTTCACTAAGGTTTATCAATACTCTCAATCTTAATCAACTAGTCAGCCAAACTGGCTCTATTCCAGTTCTGAAGTCAGAACCCAAGCACATTATCATGAGGCTGGAAAAAGCTATCACTTAACTGAGAAATGGGCCACTTTACTGTGAAGTGTTTATTACTGATACCCAATTAATAGATTATCTGTTTAACCCTTTGACAGCTGCTAAAGAATATTATTAGTGCCAATTGTGACAAAAGTTATATAAGTGGTAGTGATTCATCCACTTAAGTCAAACGGTCCCATCTCTTTCAATTTCAATTGAAATTTTATTTTCTGAGTATCTTGATTTTGTCTATTGCTAGCAGAAACTTCAACAAGTTTCAACAGATTTGAGTCTCAAATTAGAAGGTATTAGATTTTACTCTCTTCTCTCTCAGAAAGTCAAAAGAATCCCTTTGCTGTCTTTGGCTGTACTGTGTTGATCAGCATTCAATGTCAAATGTTCTAAAAAAAATGAAAACAATATAAAATAATAAAATTGCCCTTATGTCACCCAGAAAAAGTTATTAAATAGACCACCAGTATGGTCATGAGATAAGTAAATGAAATAGGGCAAGATACATTGGCCTTCCTAATTTGCCAGTTTATTAAATTATCAAATGACCAGGTTGACAAGTCAAAAGTTGGGAAAACAGAAATCTTATAGATCAAAAACTACTATTTTTAGCAGATGAGAAGATAAAATAAACATGATATGTTTGCCACATTTAGAGAGAGGAGAGCCAGAAGTTAACTGAGTCTCTCTTTAACATAAATACCAATTCAATAATTCCTTAATTTTAACTAGTTATGGAGAATAAGCATACAAACTCAAATTACTTTCACTTTTTATGTCTCCTAGTTTCTATTTAATTGCATTTTAACTTTCATTTAAAAATGTAAAACTGCAATGGAGCCTCACAGTGTAATATTAAACTGTCTGCTAGCAGAATTAAAAAGAAAAAATAGCTGTATAGATTCTATTTTCTAAATTTAAAAATAAGCTTTAAATTTTTCCATTCTAAAGTCACATTCAATTTTCTAAAAGTGAGAATTTGAAATGCTGGCAACTACCATAGAAATGAAGAGCATCTTGCAAAATTATCTATTTGAGAACGGGGCAGTGATGAATCAGAGATTTTCTCAAGGTTCAGAAAAATATATGACCAGAGCCTCAATCCATAGGTTTTGAGAACAAAGGACGAGGTTTGACTTTCATCTCTGCCTAGGTGTTTTGGTATGCCCTGCCAATGGGAGTATTTTCTATCTGACAACACCTTGAGTCATAAAGAATCTTATTCTGGATGTTTTCCTCTTGTATCTTTTATTTATGAGAGACAGAAAAGACAGAAGTAGGAGGGAAAATTTGGCAAACATTAAAGATTATTTTGAGAAAAAGTGAACTTCAGCTCTCAGAGCTGGAACTTGAAGAACAAATACAACTTGTTCATCCTTCTTGGTAATTTCAGGGATTAAATTAACTCCAGAAGCTCAATGTTAGTTGTTCTTATGTCTGAAAATAATTTATATTAAATAGTGAATAGATAAGCCTTTTACCTAAAGCAAAAGGTGGAGAAAAATATTTAATTGGCTTCCTATTGTCTAGAGGGTAATGAGGAAAACTAGCATTAGGCAAATAAATCAGCCAGAGGCCACAACATGGGATGGAGAATGCTTAGCTGATGTGGACACAGGGAGAAGCTGCCAGAAGGCTATCGCAATTATCCATGCTATAGGGATAAATACCTGATCTAAGAGGGTCAGAAGGACAGATTTGAGATATTTTAGCAAGCATTTTATTCTTAAATCATACTCTAGACTGAATAACACAAATACTAGTACAACTCTAAGAGAAATTCACATTATGTCATGTTTCCACTTAGAAGTGTATAAATAAGTAGATGCCCTCTTCGAAGAATGGAAGAAAAATATCTTATTCTTCTAATTCACTTTATCAGTATTTTCAAGTTTTCAAGGATAATGGTGAAATCACAGAGTATTTTTTATGAGGGCTTGACCAATTTTAGAATTAACAGGATATAAAAGAAGTTCTGAAATCTTCCCCGAAAACTTTCACAAGTTTGCCATGGTCCTCAGGATGTAATGCAGGCCTCTTGACCAAGCTAAACAATCTACTCCTCACCTTACATGTGATAGCTTAGTTATACCCAATTCGTTTTATAGGTACGACTTAACACTTCCCTCCAGTCTTTTACACATGCAATTCTGTCTTCCTAGAGCATCCTCCATACCTCCTCAACTAGCTAACTAGTCTTCCAAGTCATATCTTAGAAACCGTCACCTATGAGAAAACTTTATGTATCCTTCTCCCCACTCCAAGTGATCCACCTAATATTCTATAACATCACTATAACTCAGAACTGTAGGTGCCTATTTAAGTATTTTATATTTGCGTGTCACATTAGGCTATAAGCTTCATAAACATGAAAACT